CATTAGACCTGCCAGCCTGGTGTCTGGCTCCTGCAAATAGCTGGCACTGGGATAATGGGACACAGCCTGTCCCAGCTCCCTGCAACAGCTGGTGCCAGCCAGCCCTGCCAGGACTGCTGCCAGCAGCAGGAGCGTGCCAGGGCCTGCCATCAAAGAGCTGACCCATGGCTGCCACCACAGGACAAAGGGAACGCAGCAGAGCTGGTCCCTCTGGACAGGGCACCTCCTGGGAATGACAGGCGAGTGTCCTTTGGAAGTGGATGCAAACTGAGAAAGCAGAGCTGGCTCTCACAGGTCCTGGTGGTTTCGGTAAGTGGCCCTCCCTCCCTGCTCCACTGTCCCAGCTGGTGGGTGGGATGTGACACCTGCCTTTGGGAAGCACTCAAGACTCATGAATGATCACAGAGGCAAAGAATCAGTGGTTGGTTTGGGGTCTGCCCTAAGCTGCTTCCTCACCTTCTGGAAGTGGTTTTTGCAGGGACATGGGTGTGTGTGCTCATGAGGTGCTTCTGGTGCTCCCTTTCCTTGCAGTGCAGTCCCACTACTCCCACACCTTGTGAGGCAGCCTCCTAGTGAGTGATGTGACCAGCACATCTCTCATGTAATTTTCTTCCTCCCCCTGGAAAAACTGTTTATGTTCTTCAAATAAATAATAAATGTCTTTAATTCTTGTCTACAGTGTGCTTGTTTTCATTACTGACAGGGAAGTTCAGAATTCTTCGAGTAGGAATTGGAGAGAGAGATCATGAACCATCAATCCTGTGGGAATTTCTTCCATGTATTTCAGACTAGGTCCTAAGAAAGTGCTTAGCACAGTCTTCTGCACAGACGTGCTTGAAACTGGTGAGAGATGTTTCTGAAGCTGTGAATGAAAATGTTTTCCCAGCATCACTGGTACGCCCTGGGCATGGCTCTGCAGCTGCTCTAAAGGCACAGACAGCATTCATGGATCTGACTGCATTTGATGGGCACTCGGCAGAGAGTGTGGAGGAAAGGTTTGCTATGAACACAAATCAAATTAAAAATGCAAGAGGGGATCCCATTTGAAAGTCCGTACAAACACCTCAAAAGTAATTTTTAAATTTTTCCACAACTAGTGAATATTTCTGGGGTACACATACACAGCAGGGGCTGGGCTTTAGCCCCATGCCTTATCCAAGCAGTGAGCATCCATGACTCTGAGAGGATGTGTCCAGGTCTGTGTCTCCCAGCATTTCTCCAGGGCTGTCTCTGGCATTGTCTAATGTGCCTTACCTGAGCTTCTCAGTGATAGGAGCCTCCTGTTCTCTCCTCCTGGTGCTTTCCTACCTCCCAGCTCTTGGATAACTTGCTGCCCCCACTTGCCACCTTCATTATCCATGCTGCTGGAATTTTAAAGAAAGGGGTCAACCATGGACCTGCTGCTCTCCAGGTGAGTGCTGATCCATGGGATTTCACAGTGGCTGAAGAAGTGGATGCATGGCTGTTTTAAAGCCCAGTGCTGCCTGCTCAGAGGATGGCAGCTGGATCCATGTCCCCAGGGATCCAGGGTGAGAGATCATTTGTGTCCTTTGAGGGCACCAGGGATGCAGAAGGGAATGGAATCCCTTCAAGGCCACTGAGGGATGGACTCTGTTGGGACACAACACTGAAGAAGAGTTTTAGATTGATAAAGTGAACATATGTGTTGTGTTGGGCATTGGTTTGGAGGGTGGGCTCACACTTTGCCACTGTCCCAGCTTTGGTGGCTGAGAGCCCCATAGCTGCTTTGCTCCTGTGGGATGTGGAGTGCTTGAGGTCTCTTATGAGGATCTCATAGCAAGGGCACTGGCTTTGGCCCTTAGAAACCACAGTGACTGTTTATTTTCAAGGGAAGGTCTTGGAAGAGCAGCAATCCTAAAGGGACATGAAGCAGGTGAGTATCACATTTGTTTTATACAGTTTGTGTCCATACAAACAATCCCTATTTGGCAGAGCAGCCACCAGCCAGCACAAGTGCCTGTGTTGCAGGATGGCATGGTTTGCAGGTGTGCCATGTGAACACACTACAAAATTGCTGTCTGTTAGAGCCATGGTTTTGAGGTTAAAATTAATATTTTGTAATGCAGACATAAGAAGTTGTATAACCATGTTTGTAATTAAATAGCCATTATTGCTGCTCAAATCGGTTGTCATACCCTACATAATAATTGTTGCCAATTTCCCCCCATTTTTATTTTATATTGGGTAATAAGCGAACAGTAAGGTTTTACATAGTATTCAAATGAATCTGGTATTCTGGATGATTTTTGAAAATAATTCCTCATAATTTTGTTTACTGGCTTGCTGGTTGGTCAGTTCAGCCTCCTCTCCTTGGGGCAGTGCCAGGGCTGTGGTCCTGGTGATATTTGGCAAGTCCAGTGTGGTGTTGCTGGGGAAGACACAGAAAGGTAAGGTCAAGCCTTCTCAACCTTGACAGCAAGTTGCTTCTCTTTGGGGAAAGTGGTTCTTAATGCAGAGGCTGCAGCTTTGCTTTATTTATTCAGATAGTTTTTCTACCTGGCAAACTCCTCCAAACCTGAAGAAGTAGCCAACAACCAAACAGTTAAGAGAAATATAAAAATAAAATATTTCTACATTTCATAAAGTATGAGTTATAGCAGAAAAAAGTATTTTGGATTAAATATATTGTACTCAATTTTTCTATCCAGTAATGTATTTTTATTTATCTGAAAAGATTTAAGGTGGCCCAAACTGCTTAGATGGCATGTAGGAAGCATTCCAGTTTGACAGAAGCTTGAATTGATTACTTTTCTGAGGGAGGGAAAAAAAGGAGTTTTATTTAAATCAACTTTAAAGCTTTATATTAAAGGGTGAATATTGGTAGCTGGAGAATACGTTCTGCCTTCCCCTCATATTGCAGCTGGACAGCAATAGCCAGCCTTCACTTATTTATTTATTTCCTGCACAGAGGGGAGGAAAATATAGGTCCATGAATCAATCTAGATAATGGGGAAGGCTGAATGTAATAAATAATACAGTAACAACCCTAAACTAATGAGCTGTTGCTAAGGTACATTTCACAGGCTCATCCTCTATATAAAAAGTCACTAATAATCCCTTGGTGTAATCAGATGATAAAGCTTTGCCATAAGGCAACACCTGTGCAATTAAAGCTGTGGATTCTTTTGCACGTTTCATTAATTTCAGGATTTTGTAAAGGCACAATGACTACACTAATAATCTAGTCTACTTGACTCCATGTCTACTGGAAACAGGGTGTCTAATTAGGTAAAGGTAATTAATTAGAGATAAATGGAGCTAATCAGACTCGGTTAACACTAATTCTCTGAATTAAGACATTTTGGGACACCTACTATTCCACTGGCTTTGATGTTTCCCAACAAACACGGAGTTGGGAAGGAGTCAGAAAGCACAACATTCATTCTGCTGGGGACTGCAGACCCAGTCCTGCAGCAGCGCTCACCCCACGCTCTGCCTGGGGTCTGGGGGCTCCAGCCCTGCTCCTCCCTATGCCTTTGCTGGGAGAGGCCTCCCCTCCTGCTGGGGGCCTTGCTTTCACACCCCTGGGAGCCGTTGGTTGGGTTTTTCCTGGCTTCTGCCAGGATTTTGCTGATTGTGGTGTTTACCCCACAGCTTCTTCTCTTGATGTCGGAATATTTTTAAAATCCACGGTGTGCTGGTGTTTAGAAGGGCCACCATGTCCTCTGCTGTGGACAGCATTCAAAATGCACAATGCTGTGCCTTATTTCAAGGAAGAAAGTAGGATAAAATAAAATTAAAAAAACCCACCAAACCAGCCAATTTAGAATAAACCTGTATTATTTAGTGAAAGGATCAGGATTTCCCTGGTGGTCTGTGTATTTGTAACTCTTTGGAGGTCATGAGCCTGTTCTGGTGCGGTATCAGGTGCTATTCATCTTGCTTAGGTAATCAACCCCAATTGCATTCAGGTGCCAGCATCTTCAAAACTAGCAGGACTGTGGGGCAGAGGAGAATAAATGTGAGTGGGACAAGAAGTGAGCAAGAAATCGCAGTTGCTTCAGTCTTGTGGAATTCCTACGTGCTGCTATTGCTAGATCTGTGTTAGGAGAGTCCTGGTTTGCCTTTTTTCACAGGTAAATGTTACTTCCTTGCATGAACTAGAGTGTAACACTGGTGGCAGATTTGGTGGAAAGATGCAGTGACTGGTAGATGCCTACACTGAAATGATAGTGCTACCACCTCCAGCTTTGTTAGTGTTTGGGGATGGGGTCATGCTGGGCATGTGGAGCAAGTGCATTTTAGAAGGTATTGCCTCTTGTCTCTGCGTGGTGTTAAGCTACAAAGATGATTTCCCCTCCCCTGTGGATGGCCTGCTCATTTCAGCTACAAAGCACAGCTGATGGAGAGTTCTTCATCTATTGCTTGAGTGCTGGGAGGGGTGGGAAGCACTCTCCCTGCCAGCATCTAAAGAAGACCAGATGCTTTTTTAAACTTGTATTTCTAAAACACCTCAGCTGATGTTGCACAGTGTGGTACATAACTAACAAGAGTGAGCCAGGAATGAGTGCTTGTAGGGTGAGCTATAGCCTGAGGTAAGTCTCCATGAGCTGAGCTACACTAGCCTCAACAGAGGAGATGAAATAGAAATGTCTGAATACTTCTATTACAAGATACTTTTTGGATTGACCTTTCAATAACTTGTTAAACTACAGAAAACATTTCTGTTTTCTAGATGCAAAAAACCTGCTGGGTCACACAGTCCACAAATGCCCCTCTGGATATTTTTAATAGCAGCTTGGTGACTTTGGGCTTTCAGGAGCTGCTGGGGCTTGGGCCCCACTGTTCAAAACAACTTGCATTTCCAAGGATGGACAAAGCCTGGATAGCAGTTTCTGAGCAGTGGATACAAGAGAATTGTTGCAATTGCAGCATCCAGGCAGGAGAAATGATTTGAGGTGTGTGCCCCCTGTACCCCAGGGAGGGACAGAGCTGCAACTGCAGCATCCAGGCAAGAGAAATGATTTGGGGTGTGTGCCCCTGTACCTCAGTGCTGCTGCACCCTGTGGGCAGGGAGGTGGGCCAGAGCTCAGAGAGAGACACTCCAAGCCTTTGGTTGGGGCTGCAGAGCAGCAGTGTGAGAGTCCAAGCCCAATTTGCTGACAGCAATTTAACCCCTCTTGTGCAGTTGAGGTCACCAGTCAGCCTTCAATCACGTTTATATTTTTTTGTATCATAAGAAATTCAGGGGTTCCAGCTCAGCAGGTTTCAGTCTGGTTGCTGATACTGTCACCTGATGCACTTGTGCTTTTGAATCCAGCCCTGTCCATTGCCAGGCTCCAGTGCTCTGAGGAGGTGCAGTTCAGCACACTGTGCAGGGAAGGGGGAGATGTCCAGAGGGTCACACAGCTGCTGATGCCCTATTTGGGCACCTGCAGTGCTCAATGCTTCTCCAGTGGGAAGGTGAGCTGAGTGTCTTGAGTGCCTGGACATGTCAGAGTCTGTTCTGCTTCAGAGATCAGGTTCATTAAATGTCCTCCAGTCTGACAGTCCTTGTCATCTGCAGGCATGGATCAACAGCTACTGGTCTTGGAGACCATGGCAGAGTTGCTGGATGTGCACACACCTGTTCAGGTGAGTCCTAGCTAAAGGATGG